ACTAAATGAAGTCAACTCCTCATCCTCAAACTTGTGTATGATACTAATAGTCATCAAGGTACAGTGATATCATTGATCTCCAGAAGCGCATCCTCGGCATCCACAATGGGCACATTGTACAACTTTACCCTCACCAAGTTGACTTCGTGGTACCCTGCAAATGCACGTCGTCCCCTAAGGAAGCACATATAACAATGAGAAATCTTCAGCGTGCGTAAAAGATACTAACCTGATTATGATTTGTCGCTTGGCAACAGAGCATACAGCAAAGCTGATCATACCCCGGCTTGCGCCACTTATACACTAACTGTTTATCGGCCCAACCTTCCTAAAGGGAAAAGACAAGAAAAATAAACAAAAAAGGCGGAGCGAAGCAGTTGGCTCACATCAAGACAATATCTAAACAACTCCTTGGAGATGGCCTTCTTTTTATAATACATATCAAACACGTATCTTCCATGAGGTAAGATTCAAATGATGCCCAGAAGAATACCATAACGATCTACCTTGATCGTTGATGATTGAGTTTATGTATTGGCCATAGGAGCTCAGTTTTCCTCTTATCTTCGTGTGGTTCATTTTCAGCATCTCTCATTTTCCTGTCGATCTCCATTAACGTCGACTCTATCTCCTCCCATCCCTCTGAATAAAATATAACTTTTTATTCTGACAGTCTGCACGCATGCACACTAACCTGGGGCCTTCTTCGAACGAAGAGTACGAACTTTGGGCATTTAGTAATATCAGATTCAACTATTAAACATTTAAATATGTGTTCGGTATAGCAATTACAAATATTATACTTACCACGACATGGGTCATCTAAATGCACATTTCTGCCTCAACCTGTAAGCTCACACAGAAAAGTTACAATGAAACTTCAGTTTCAAAATTTCGGATCTTGATGACTGTGTGAAGGCTCTAGACGCATTCTTTTGTCTTTAGTGGTACTCAAGAAATCGAAAAAAGTTAACAACACATTGTGGAATTCATTCTGAAATTTGGAGATCCCGGATTTCACTCTGGTCTCTGTTTGAACAACTCATCAGAGGTCCCAATGACGTGCGGCGTGTGGTCATGGGAATACTCATAGCTGGGCCAACTGACAATAATAGTTCATTATTGATGAAAAATGTTAGCGAAAATCACATCCATAAAGTGCTTGCGAGTACAAGTTTCATATTCAGGTTAACCAAGCTCACTTCTATCACTACGTGTTGAAACTAACCATATGTAATAAAGACAGGCACGGACGACTAATGGCCAAAGGCTACGACGAATAAGTCTCGTTAGTGCTACTACCAATAGCACCCATTTTATCACTCTCCCCTCACACGGTGTTGGCATACATGTTTGATTTCCTCATAAAAGGTTACACACTACTCGGTGTACAAGAACCTACGAGAACTCCCTAGAGTTTTTCAGAGCTCTTATTTTCCATCATCAACACGTGTCGTAGTATACCCATATTGCACTTCCCCCTCTACTACCTTCCATTGGGTCCTATTCTCATGGCACCAATACGATGTAAACCTGAACACATCTTGGAAGAGATTTATGATGAATTCGCTCAACTCTCCAGTCAACTACTGCTACCCTCCTCTCCCACGAAGATGTCCAATCAATTGATAACGTACTGGTAGCATTAACGTCCTATCATATGAACAACACAGCGAGCTTTAGGACGTTCTCATCATCACTGACGAGCCGATATGGGAGGCTGTCGATGATCAGAATTTTAGAGGTAGTGAGGATCGATGAGGGAGGGAGGTTGCTGATGTGATTGAATATTCCATATCACATCGACTGCTGTGCACCCTCAACAATACTAGGGCCTTCGGGGGTAGACTCCTGATAGCCTCGGTAGTCCAAGCAAGAGTAGCATAAGTATAATGACTTTAGTGAATATAGAAAGGGCTCCAAGTCTGCAGCTTGTACGAGTATCAACACTACTTTATGCGAGCGACAAAATTTTCTGATCGAAAATCAGCATTTGAGGACTTACTGTAAAACCTAGAGGGTTACAGGAAAATACTTTATGAAGTTGGAAGGCATTTTAATTTGAGTACAGTGCCACCGGCGAAACCAGTATTCTCTTCCTCTCCTCAGCAGCGACCACCACAACACGAATCGTATGGAAAGGCTGGTCTTTAGGGAGAATGAGAATAGCAGTGTCGATTAACAACCTGATAAATTGCTTACTTTTCACATACCGTTCGCCACTTGGGCGTGCGCGATTCTGATGTAAAAAGCGCGCGCCCGAAGTAATGGCTCTGTCTGTAGACGGTGTGTCTGTCTCGTCGCCTTTGGATTCATCATTAGTATTGGGTACCACTCGATGGACGGTAAGGAGGAAGCATCGGCTATGCGGGGTGCTGCTCGGATGGAGTCGCAGCAGCAACAACAGAAAGAGTACTCAGTTGGACCTGTTTTGTATCTTGCGAGTCGGACATGCTTCGCATCTTTAGGCCGATGAGGGAGCGCAGACGAGTGGCTGTGCGATCCATGATGAAATCGGAGGCTTCAGAGGGATGTAATTGACAACGGGCCGGTTGCATATAATTTGATCGCCTCAGTGAACCGCATCGGCCTCGTTAGGCCTGAAAAACAGCATGCTGTAGAGGACCTTATTATACAAAGCACCCAGTCGGGGAGGTTGCAGCAACCAATAGGTATGTGCAGGGGTTCGAACCTGGGTCTATTGATGGATGAACATGGTAAAACACTCGCTGGGCTGTTGAGACTGGTGTTTGGTTGAGGGCACTTTGATGGAGCTCTTAGAGTACGTAGAGAAACAGAATGGGTCTGGTGGCAACATTAAGGTGTGTTGATTGAAACGACGCAACGGATGACGACGTAAGTTTCATCAGTTCGCCCGAAAGGCCTTCAACGATGATGACGACGACGATTCTGATATCAACCTTGACAACTTGGAGTGATATTCACTGACCACTGCTTGTGTGCGTACTACTCGTCATTCACCCATTTTCAAACGCTCTATCTGAAGTTCCATTCCTTGTCGAGGTTGATTTTCTATCTTCCACACATGCCTATCCGTGGGTCCCCTCGCGCTCATGCATTCAGCGGTCCTCGCCGTATTGCTGGCAACAGCAGGAGATCTCCCAGCAAGCGGAACAGAGGAGCTGGGGTAATTTCATACCACACTTCCTCGGCATCGTACCTCCATTATCCTCTCAGATTGTCACTCGTTATCATGAAATCTCAGAGGAATGGAACTCATTCCGTCCTGTTAAACGTAGGGCCGTCCCTCACCTCTCAAAACTGTTGTCTTATTAGCAGCTCCGCGTACTGCCGCATCCAGAAAGTTCGCTCCCTCACAGCGCGTCCAAGGAGGTCATCTTTATGCAACTTTTGTGACTTCAATTATATTTCCTCAGGTACGGCTGGTATTCAGGAAGTGTACGACCCTGAGCATCTCATCGTCGGAGCTAGTCATAGCAAAACTGCTAAGAAACTCATTGATTCGGTAGTAAATCCAACCCAACGTATTGGAAATGGCCTCATTATTCGGCAAAGTTTGGGAAAGGTGTGTTTTGAATTTTACTATTTCCTCGTATTTTTCGAGTCGCCAAATTGTATAGAAGAATATTGTTGATCTAAAGATGTTGAATAATATGGTAAAAATCGTGATGCACCCACCAACACTTACTTGATGATCAGAAAGCAGTCGAGTTACGCATCATGTCGTACCATTCACATCGTAGGAATCAAGGAATTACGGGAGAATTTCTATAATTTCATTGCAATTTAACTGTGGTGACAGAAAATCAACTAAAATGTGGCAATGCTTGACGACGTGAAGTATCACAAATCGAATGACTCATGTTCGTGCTGAAAGCAGTGGTGGTTTCGGTATGAAGGACGGCTTCAGGATCCCGTATTGCACGAGATTGTCGTTGATGCCATCCGTTATGCTGCAACTCAATTCCATGCCCCTAAAGGGAGGGTGGCTCAGTTGAAGAAGGATGTTGGAGGAAATGAGGATGCTGGTAGGTTGAGTACGGGTATTTTCTGAGAATAAAAGTTGAAATAATATATTATAAAAATTTTGGAGTAAATTTTAGTGAAAAATCCCGGAATTACGGTGAGTATTTGCTCGATATCGTTTTCAAAATTATAAGATTTACTTGCTGAATTTTTGCGAATTACTTGATTATTAGACGAGCTCTTTCCGAAATCATTACCATCCCTTTGTGTTTTCCTCTCAGGTTTGGCGGGTTATCTAGATTTCTCCCGTTTGGTATGCTCCTTCGTTCACACCCTTGCCAACGAGAGTGATCCTATCCACCGCGAACTACTCAACAGTTCAACTGTCGTTGTTGGGAATATGGGGTTCTGCGGTAACATTCCGTGTTTTAGGTCAGTCTGTGTTGCATACGGAAAGATATCGGAGATTATTCTCTTAGGTACAAGCTTAAAATGGGCTTACCAGAGCACTATGTTGATCCATACCGTAATCTTACGAATGTTGTTCCCTTTATATGGTGCAACATCTTCTTCGTTGATCCTTATAACAGATAGATGGAAGAATTGTATTTCTGAATTGTCCACTCATTTTTGAAAACTAACATGTGTTCAACTGTAAAGGTGTTCATATTTCGACCTGTCGTGTTGGAGCTCTCCAGGGTGGTATCTTTTGTATATTACGCACAGCGAAGATTTTCCTCTCGGATTAGTCTGGTTTTTTGTCGATGGGTTGTTCCTGTAGCACAGGTGCCCTCCGTCGGGATAGCGTAGACGAGGCTTCTCATAGAAGGAATGATCATTCCCTTTCACAGAAAGGAGGACGGACTTCGAAATCGGCACAAGTTGAAGCCATGGTTGAAGCTAAATGTCGGCAGGCCTCACAGACTAAGGTTCTTGTAAGTGCGTGTGACCTTGTTAAAGCGGTGTTGGGATATAGTCATCAACCACACGTGTTTGTGATAATGAAGATCCTGAGTATAAGAAGAATTTCGTTGCTCCTTGTACTATTCTACTTGCTAGTGAACTCCCATAATGTGATGAATGAATTTCTGAGCTGAACTGAGGGAAGTATATATGTTCCAACAGTGTCGACTCAGGCACTGCGTGAGTGTGCTTTACGGTCGTTGCCTGAGGATGCAACTGATCTGGAGGGTCTACGGACGCTGGACTTGGCGTTCAATCGTCTCACGACCGTACCTAAGGAGGTTGCATGGCACGCCAGTTTGCTGAAGTTAAATCTCAGCTCGAACCAATTGCGAGAAGTCCCAGTTTCACTGGTTTTCCTTATAAGTAAGATGTGGACCTCATTCGTATCTTACAAGGTTGGACCTAAGATTCTTCTTCTACTCCTCAGAGTTACAATCACTGCAATTGCAGGATAATAAAATTGAGAAGGTTGGCGGATATGCATTTCCGGGCTCACTTGTGGAACTTAATTTATCCAACAATAAACTCACCCACATCGGAGAGGAGGTTTTCGGTCAGTTCACTGCGGCAATTCAATTTTACGCTTTTTTCATCAGAAACGCTGAATGCGCTCACTGATGTCGACGTATCGGGGAACCAACTACAGACCATTCCGACTAAGATCCTGTTCCGGGTAGCAAGCAAGACGTTAGTTACTTTCAAAGCAGAGTAATTCAAAGAACCCCAGTTGATGTTATTAGATTGGTCTTAATTTCAGACATAACAAACTCGTAGAGATACAATGGCCTGACAAGAGTGATGACGGTGATGGTGGTGGCGATGATGACGTGCAATTGGATCGACTCATGTGAGTTAGTGCTAGATTATGAAGAAGACTTCTTCGCATCTATTATTATAAGAACACGATACTATGATACAGTATGATGATGTATAGAAATGAGTATATGAGTCGTGTCTGACATATTTACATTATTGTTGATGTGTAAGACAATCATAAAAATGCATAACCCCTCGGACTTACCGTATGGATGACGATGTGAATTGTTATTGTTGATATTTTCGAAGTGATTTGGAGATTTCTATATAAACTTTGAATGCAAAGTCATGGAATTTTCCACCTCCACCTCCTCCGGTTCAGGCAAATGGATTTGTCGTATAACCGTCTTTCAACTGTCCCATCCGAGTTGTTCACGAACACAGCATTAGTGGATCTATGGTTACAGGGCAACAACCCCGACCGGCTGAATAAGTATCCATCATCAACGTGAGTGGTGAATAGAGTTGTTTTCAGATATACTATTAAAGACATTCCTGGCTTCAACGATTATGTAGAACGACGTAAGCGGAAAATTGACAAGCGAATTGATAGCAATGCAGGAAGCAAGTTGAACCTTGCGATGTGTGGTTTAGAATGATGAAGAATTATTATAGTGCAGCATTAATGCAGCAACAATAACAACAACAATAGCATCCTTTTGGTGTCGTCTTCATCTCAACATGTTGGCTATTCAATACTATGTCCTTCTCTGAAAAGCCCTCATCGAAGTTGAAGCGTGTAAATACTATTATTGCTGCTTTTACGAGCCACCATAACATCAGCATTCATTCTGTATCAATAATCCTGAGTTGTCAGGGGGGGGCGAACGAAGGTGGGTGGGTGTGTCTTTTTCGTGTTGGAATTTTTGAGTCTTTCAATATTCGGCTGATAGTCCTCTGTGATTCCCGGCCCTTCCTGGTGAGTTGATGGGAAAGACGGATTAAAGTAGATATGGTTCATGCGAAGCAACACGTATGAAAGGATATATGGAGTGCCCATCGAACTTCAAAATACAACTCAGCGAGATATGAGTTGGACTCACCGTGATTCGACTAGGTGCAGTACGCTGCATCATAATACGGTAGCACTCTTACTCAGACGATCATATGATACGATTCGTATTATTCATAATGCTATTCCATTAGCCCAAGACTGCTCAATCTACTATGCTTGGCAGTATTACTAGCCTACTAGCAACACTAGTGAGTAAATAACAGTCAAGTGAAGTACGACTCTTTGCAAATACGTCTCGATGGGACTACAATACTCGTAGTACGACTCTTCCAAGATGCGACGACCAAGACCCATTTTCCGCCGTAACGGAACCGAGGCTGAACAAAGTATGAGAACGTCTAAGCAGGATACTTAGATTTAACGGAATCACTCGAGAAATCAGCCTCGTGAGCAAGGCAGATCCAGTAAGTGTATTAGTCTGGAAAAGAAATCTACTTTCGTTTCTCGAATCAGGTCGGAGATTCATATATAATCGCGATGCTCCTGATTTCTCGGTCCAGATGCAGACACAGGCCCGATCGCACCTTCCCACCCGAAAACTCGCTAACTCAACTCGTCCCCCCCTGCCGACTTCATCTGCAGCCATCGGACGGCCATCCTCACCCAGTTGAGGACTGCACGTCAAGATGCAGACAGTCAGAAACTACCGGGTGGCAGAGGGTGGGCAAAATGAGCCAGTACGCTCACCAGCAACTGTTAGATGAGGTAAAGTATCCAAAGCCTCACAGTCAGAGTTAGAACCCGCAGCAACAACAGCAACGAAAATACACAGGCTAGGTATAGCTCAGAGCCCCGACACATCTGTGATGAGTCATCATAGATGTGTATTAGAGCTTGTACAAACAAGTCACCGAAGTTTTCCATCTTCATAGCACCTCGCCTTCTCAACCAAAGGTACGACCTCCGAGCCGGACTCGGCGAGTCCCATCAGTCCAAACTTGAGACTCCCAAAACGTAGTAGATTTTTCCCGCTGATTACCCTGTCTTGCGAGAGTGCAGAGTCCTGTCTATGACGCCCTTTGTCGGTACTCTCCGATAATACATTCTGTATTATACTGATTCACATCAGTTTCATTTTGGTACAGTATGAATAACAAGTAAGTCTTCCCGTTAGAGTCTTCGTAGTTAGTGAGAAGTCGAAGACCGGTAAAACGTTTTCTCCACACATTCTTAGCATACACGTATGCTCAAGAGGTTCCTTATGCCCTTGAGGAAGCTCATCAAATCGTTTCAGGCTAAAAATCTCAAGCTTCATGACGCGATGAAGCTGCTTAACGCTACTCAGCGGGAGGCCTCTCTTATGCAAGGGTCACCGGCTGAAGTCGAAGTCCTACGGCACGATTTCATCCAGTATTTGGGAATTCGCTTCAAGGCAGATGAGGTGAGTTGGTTGGCCTTCAATAACGTCTCACCCGAAATATCCCGATGACTTGGTGCGTATACGGTTCAAACTCCTCAAGGATAAGTTCCATCAATTGGGCTGGGATGATGATGACGAAAGCTTCGTGGTAGACTACACTCGCGTCATGGGAGCTGCGAAGGATGAGATCGACGGTGGCTGAGAAGCGACTATCGAAGAGCCCTTCACGTCAAGCTCCCACATGCCCTCCGCCTTGCAATGGTGCGAGGCTCCACCGACGTCAAGGACAACGAGCTCGTTGCCAAGAGTGTGAAGCATTGGATGAATACGCGGGCCAGGAGGAATCAGCCTGAGGGGATCAAGAGGTCCGCTGCTGGCTCAATTAAGAAAAATGAGCCGCTCGGAGGAGAGGTTTCTTCCGATATTTCCGCTGCTGAAGGCATAAGTGCGCAGGATATCGCCGAGGAGCCCGGCAGGGACAATCCTCGACCGAGGAGGTCAGCCTACATGCAGGCAATGGCCCGGTTCAAAGAGATGGTCGGAGATGAAGATGATCCTGATAGTTGATTCAATCAATTTCATCCCACTTTCTCTGTAAGTGCTTTGTGTTGTGTGAGCCGCGCAACCTGATCTGGTCGTATCACAGAATCTCACAAGTCATTCAACCGCATAATGCGAGCCGCATCCACAATACATGAGAATATTTTCATGTAGATCAGAGGGCCTCCAGAGAAACTTTAAAAATATTTTTATACGCCTTACGAAATGCCCTGCCTACAATACTAATACAGAAGTGAGATGGCCTAGTTGTGCTACACCGGAATACTTCGCGGTGTGGAAGTTGAAAGTCGACCAACTCCCCGGTGAGGTGAGTGGCAAAGAACGCACCACACCATAAAGGATACGGTGTCTTGTGAAACGATCGGGCGAGATGAACTTCTGGCGCCAGCAAATCGGCGCCAGTGGGCAAGCATCGATCGAGCTAACTGTACGCCTGATTACAGTCAGTCAAAGTCGGTTGCATAAGTTCTCACAGATCCAATCTAGATCTCCACTTGTAGAATTCTACTCGTATTCGAGTTTGCGTATACGTGGGAAATGGCGCTTTGGCTCGATCGTCCCTTGTTACTGCTGGTCGGATGTGACAACTGAAGCCCCTCGTGATTGTGATACTGGTTGTGCCTCGGATACTCCTGGCTCCTACTGCAAGTACTGGGCTACACTAAGGACCTGTCATTCATCCAAAGCACCATGCACTTGCGAAGCTGATCCAGTTACCACACTCCTGGTTCAGTAACCGATGAAGGCAGTGAGACCACGATAATTGAGGAAGGCACAACAGCCGCCCCCGAAGAGACCAATACGTTAACTCCTGTGGCTGTTGACACTACCGGTATGGTTACTACAGCCGATGCGGCTGATGTTACTAGGGAAGCTCCTGTCGAGCCTACTACTGTTGCACAAACGACCAGCACAGTAGCTCCCTCGGAAGTAACTACATCTCCGGGTGTTACTGGAGAGGCCGCATCCACCACATTTGCTGCTACTACAACAGACTACGTCTCCACCGAAGCCGCGACTACGGCTGACTTCCCAGTAGCTACTGCCGCTACCACCGTTGATGCCACCACCGAAGCCCCAGCTACAACGACTGAGGCGACCGATGCTCAGACTACTCCTAGCCCAGGTGTATGAAGACATTTCGGAATGAAGCTTTGAAATGCTCTGAGTACTGCCTTTTTAATAGACCGCGGCTTTGTATGCTGTCTTGGTAACGAGTGAATGAGTATTGATGGAAAGAGTTGCATCGATAGAGTCGTTCGCCCATCACATCGCATTAGCTAGTTTCATGCTGTTCACGGGTCACACGTTGTCACCCAGTTGTCGTCGCGATATGCTCTTCGGATGCAGAAAATCGTTATAATCTAGCCAAGCCTTTTCCTCGGACGAAAACGAGAAAAGGAGTAAGATAGATCGGGAGTTGCATTAAGATGAGAACCCTGATTGATAGGCATTCGAGTAGGTTGTGCGCTATGCATACACAACAAAATAATCAACTTTAAGGGCTACGGACTCACAAGTAATTACAGTGAGTCACTGAAAAGACTGACGATAATATCTAAAACAATAGTTATGGAATTATTGTAGTTCATTGAAACTTCATCACCATCACCACTACGAAGAAGCATTGAAAGCATAAAAGTTCCGTGTCGTAATGTAGCCCACTCGCTATAACGTTATGATTAGCTAAGCCTCACAGATAGATTCACACTGAGAGCTTCATCTCAATTATACTCATTCCGTTGTCAAGCGGATCGGTGAGGACAACAGCCAAGCTCTGATTCTCCTCAAACGGCTTGTCTAATCGATGATCAAGGCGCGCGCTGAATGATAAGCGCAGAATTCGATTTTCCCGCTTGTCTCATTGTAAGTTTCATTTCAATTAATGATACATTTTACGGTGGCCACCGTTTTTGTTCTGACGCTCTCCTTGCTGGGATGCGACGATGACATTCACACGGGCTCCTGTGAATTCCATGGTGAATCTCGAAAGGAGTCGTTAATAGTGATAGCCCGAGATGGCGACGTAAATAACGGCACTTTCCATTTGACCTCATTCCAGTGTGGTATCAATCCACACGCCACTACGCAGTCCCGCGACCACTCACAGCGGTAAGAACTTTATTTTATGGTATTGAAGTGATGTAATACTTCAGGCATACACTATCGGAACTTCCAAGTGAATCACGTGCGAACATCGACCTCATTTTCGCCGCTGAGGGGCCGAGGAAGGCCGGAACATGTCGAGCCGTTGCAAAGGCGTTAAAGGTGGAAGCATCAGGAGGGGTGAGTTGAGGACTGTTTGACAATAGTTTATATCGGTCGTTGCTAGGCTTACAGCGCTCTGTTTGACCACGTGCCCGCCACAATCGATGGATTGGTGGAGAGGTTGTGTCAATTGGTAGCATCGACGGATGTGAAACATAGGAAAGTCGCCATTAACGGCGAATACGCGAGAAAACCTGAGCAGACAACAACATCTGAACAGACAGCACCCATGCAGACAACACCTATGCAGACAGGATCTACGCCGGCAACATACATGCAGCCAGCACTTGTGCAGACAGCACCTACGCCGGTATCACCCATGCAGGCAGCACCTGTGCAGGCAGCACTTATGCAGGCAGCACTCCCTATGCAGACAAGGCTACGTGTGATCGAGTCTCACAACATGGGCTCGTAGGAAGGTTCATGAGGAATGAAGGCTAGTTGGTTAGCTGTGAATGTTCATGTATTCTTCGTGTGTTCATGGTGCATGTTCTGTTGCCTTTATGGACTTGATAAGGAGAAATTAAGTTGTGTTAGTGGTGGGATGGTTGGGGTTGACGTCAGCTGTGCTTTCATCCACACTGCCGATATCATTACTCGCTGGAGAATAAATCCCATCGACGCTAGGGATAGGAGAGCTATTGACCAAACCCGAGGCCCGAAAGCCGATGTCTAGGTGAAGGGCCAATACTAACTACAGGATGAGTCAGCGGACTGATGTAAATAAGCTACTCGAGCATTAGTGACAACAGAGTCAAGTACCTCTTGAAGAGGCCCTCTTCCCTAGTCCCCCGGTGTCGAGGGTGAGGATACCAAATCGTTGTGGTGATTCCACCACCTACAGCGTTTCTCAGCACCTACAGTTTTATCGTGGTTTGGCCGAGGTAGACAATTCCATGTCCAATCCTACTCCGAGATGATGAACATCTTCCATCATCCTTTGGTGCCGTGATCCATTCGATATCACTCTGATCTAGATCCATCCCAATGACTACAGTACTCAACATAATGAGGTGAAACAGAGAGTCCAAAAAGCTTGAGCGAGATTGCTACTCAGAAATTGGAGCTAATGCGTCGTGGAAGGTATGTCTGCTCGGAATGAAAGTGTACCTGACTATGACTCAAGGACTCCCATAAAACGCTACTCCATCATACTGTGAATTATGTCTAGGCATCAGCCTGCCACTACTGAGGTAATACTTCACGGCATCAATCGACTAAAGAAAGAAAGGTAGGGAAGAGAATGCTAATAGGGCGATAATCTACCTCGATCTTCTCCTGCAACTGGACCAAGTACGGAACTTCAAAAGTTATACCGTAACTATCGCAGATTATGACTACACATTGTTGACCGTTACTTACTCAGGTCCGCATTGATCCACTTCACTCAGTTCATATAGTTTAGTAAATAGATAGATATCAGCATAGGATAACTTAGTAGAACCTGACAGGTAATGGTAGTAACAATACTTGAAACTATACATGATTGCAAGGTGAGATCATCAACTATTGCCGTGTGCGCTAAGTTGGAATGTATATTCATATACCATAACTGGCTCAAGTTATCCCACCCTCAAGGTACGTATCCCTTGACGATGAAGAAATCCTAGAGTACTACCATCCAGCCATCTCCACTCCTTACTATCCTCATTATTCTTACGAAGGAGTTGTTCAAATGTTTTAAGCACCATTACAGAGTACCTACCAATGCGAATGATACATTTTACGTCCCCATACTCTGCTACTACTTCCACGGTGACAAGTCGCCGTCTGCAAGTGACATCTCGCTGACAGATCGAACGTCGGGGACCTAAGATATGAAAGTGGAGGAAACAGCGTAGAAATTATCCATCGCAAAAGTTCGTAACGAGGTGGGATGATTAACTCAACGGTTCCCTTGATAACACGACCGACCACCACGTGCTCAGTAAGAAGAGCCCAAATACTACATCAAATATACTCTCCTTGAAAGTGTTCTTCTTCAGAGCATCCCAGGAGAAGGTATGCGACTCGAACATATCAATCAGCTGCTCGAACAACTATCAGAAACATGATCGAAAATCCGTGGATGTAATAAGTCATTCTCATCATTCACACTTTATGTAATGATGCGAGTAAAGTGATGTTAGATAGGTTTGCTCAGGAGCTCCCCACTACAATACGAAAATGTTCTCACGACTTGAGGTACCGAAATAAACGATGATTTATCAGGATATTCTCGCTGTCACAAACACACCTAGTTGACCATGTGCATACATTTCCCTACCATATCCACTTTAGCCTGCTTCACTCTGTTTCTACCGCCGTTCATTCTGGTGATATCAGCAACATAGCGAACAATCGTATGTTGCTGCACGATCATTCTGAGTTTATAAGAAGTATAAAATATCCATTGAAAACGCATATCAGCCTCACGTGCCATCAGCCAGCTCCAATACAGGTAAGTCACCGAAGGGAAATTGCGAACGGCTATTCAACTGATACAAAAAAGGACTGAGTCGATTTCGAGCAGCGCAGACTTACGAAGGTCTGATAGAAGTAGCAAACGGCTTCATACGGCTCGTGGCCTATCTCAAGGAGTAGTCTCGCCACTTCTGCGCGATTTCTGAGAGAATAACAATGCGGATCACAAGCACAGTTCGATGACAGATAATGAGTAGGGATGAATCCAGAATCTATAGCGTGCGATGTGAGCTCATAAAAATGGAAATATTGGATTTTTACGATGAGTAGACTATGATGGTATGTCTTTCTCATTCTCACTCACCTCGTGGGGAAATAGTGCAGCCGTAGTGGAGTTCTTCCTCGAGTAACAACAGCCGGTCCGCGTAGTACTATCTTCCCCTGAGCTCCCTTAACACCTCGTGCGTGCTACATAAGATCTCATACCACACCTCGAGCACTTCCTAGACTATACCGATAACATATCCTGTGCTGCTTTCTCAGCTGCTCGACGTGATTTCATTTCCTCTGCCGTCTCAATACGACTACGTTCATCGCGCTTTCGCCCTGGGGAAAAACAAGGCATCAAAGATCGTGGGAGCCTCATGAAGATATATGCTATTAAGACTTCCAAGGCGTAGAATAGATCAGCTCGGAAACGACGAGCAATGTCGGGAAGCTAAGGATTGTTATTATACAGGGATGTGCACAGGACTAGTAGTGGTAATCTTTCCGCTGAGGAAAAGGATCCAAACACGAGTACTGAATGACGAACATCACAATTTCGATCTAATCACATTGCTGTTCGATCAAACATAGTAATACCTTCGCTGTGAAAAAAAGCTAACGACATTTGAAACGACTATATATAATGGCATTGTCCTAGTAAAAGCTAGCAAAGTGAAGAAGTGGAGCTCTACCCTCTCCTTTCCCTATTATCACCTCTATTCACAGCAAAGATAGTGAGGGCCCCGATGGCGATGAGAATTGTAGGCTGCCATATTTCCATTGGTTTAGTCATCATCATTATGAAAAACAATGCTATTCAAAAATAACAGTCGAACAAAGAACACAAAATCTGCCACCTTTGGATCAACCGTGTATCGGCGAAAACGAATTAAATCCTACCTCCTCCTCCCCCTCCTCCTCGGAATACAGACCTTCCATCCATCTTAGGAAAGGGATCATCCCCCTCACACAACCTCGACGATCATTCCTTCACCACAAATTTACAGTCCATTCATCAGCCCTTCGTAGATGATGCTCATCTCGAGCACAGACAACGTTTATGCGCTCCCTCGTGGGAGAGTCATCGATCCTGGGAAAAGTGTCATCAACTCTTCCGAGGGGCGTCCGCGGAGTGATAGCTCACTGTGAATGCAGAACAGGGGGCACGATGTCACACAGGAAAACGGCCCAAGGTATCCGAATACCTATACGGGGGAGAACCACAAAGGTCTTAACACCTTCCTCGTCAGGCCCCTCTCCAAGGATCATCCTCTTCCTCTAGCTACTACTACTACGACCGACGGTCATCCGTGATGCTATTAGTAGTGAGCGGAGCGATGACAAAAGGAAACATGAAAATCCTAGTACTACTGCGGAGACAATCTCGATTCATTGGACACAACGTAATGCTAGCCTTAGTAGTTACTAGCTTGGGAGGCCCTCCATCCTTACCACTGAGCTATCAATGGTGATCTACACCACTACTGCTACAACTACCCATAACAACAACATGATCATCATGCAGAAGCCCCTACATCCAATCACTCGACTATCCACACACTCTATGTAATGGGGTCTGTATCTCATACATCGCACTATGAATGATATTCTGCAATACTCCTACTCTACAGGAGAACACTCTCACTTTATGAAATGGATGCCGATTTCCCCTTCTACCAACTCAACCACTTTCCACTGAGCCTGACCACATGAGTACAGCCAAACCTGAGCATCCAAGTGAACCTAAGATACTCAAAGATTCACTCCCGAGCACCACACATGTTCAGTACCATTCGTTTCTCACGAGTCGGCAGCAGCTGATGATGATGACGAGCATCTCCATTAATGTGAGTCCATCACCTCTGCGAGTATGGAAGATGTGCAAAGCGGCAAGAAGAGGTGATTAATGATCTTGAGAGACCTATCCGGACGGTCCGGACCGGACCTATTCCGTATCTTACCATCCCAACCTAAAGATACGTCTTACAAGCAACCAAGCAACATAGGCATTCATTCCACTGATCTCAAGTCAATCGCCAAGGAAAACATCATCATTCACGTTAATGTATCCAATCGTTCTGAGATCGTCTTTAACTTCTTCTCATCGGCCACCCCAAGCCCCTCAACCATGTAGTATAATATACGTTTCCGAACCTAAATCCGAGCTCCAGAATCTCGAGGGGCTTGAAGCCCGCATACTACATTCGGTGCCGATCCCACTATGGCCACTACTCTGAATTTGATAGGCATCTCTCTTCCACTCCCAACCTTCACACTTCTTAAGGATGTGTCCAAGCTCCCAACACAGTCCTCCGTATGGAACGCTGGGGTCTGACATAACAATACACGGAGTTTTGACGGGAACCAATTACTATCAGAACCTGTAGTTCACTTAAATACATTTTTCATTAGATTCTACTGTATGCCTCATCGAAGCTACCTGCTGACTTTATAACTAATAAATTCTACCATCCCTCAAGGAAAAGGGGTGATATTATACCGTGCCACATTCTATGACAGTCATGAATGTAACCTCATTCGTATCCAAGCACGATAGACCAAAGATACGCCTCTCACCTTAATGACAGCAATAACTCTCCTCGGTGTGATATCGACGACCTCAGCCACCTTCGTCACTTGACCAATCATAGCCGCACCGTAGTCGCCGAAATTTGTATCTAAAATATTTATTCCTCTACGCCTCCATATACCATGCGCCGAGCCATTATGTGATTGAAAACAGGCCCTCGAGTTGACCAACACACCAGGGAGGGATATTTCAAGTAACACCATGAAGGCCGTATAGCCACAACACTCGATACACAGGGACTCTATCAACTGTTGACTCAGACGTGAAATTGAATACCAAATAATGGATATATTCAATTCTATACAAATGCCTGTTGAATCGGCGTGGCTTTGATACACTCCGATTTGCTATGTTAATACTAACGTACTACTATCCTCCCCTCCGAGCTTTGCTGGCACTGGTGGTACACACCCAGTATTGTTGACTCCTCTATACATCTACTTCCTAACCTTATTTGACATTTCAGAGATTTACGGTTCGCATTTCATAGAGCAAACCAAGCAGCGATGAATCGATACTGGAAAGTCCAAAATTCAGCGTAGCCACTAAGATAGAGCCCCGATTGATGCTGGTATAACATCCCACGATTGAAAACCGATGGTAGAATATATTTCGACTTCCAGAATCAGTTCATTGATTCCTTCCTACGAGAGTCTCCCCACTTACGAATCGCTGCTCTCACTTCCTTTTCCAAGCTCGTCTTTATAACATTCGCAATAGAGGATTGACCATCAGCTGGTTGTAGTTCTAATACGAGATACCGGGAAGACACTCTGCCTGCCATGATGATGGTCACGAGTAAATCATGCTAGTCACGGGCGGGCGCTAAGTCAAAACAGCACGTCGAATCGATGTAAATTAGCTAAATTGTGGCGGATGGTAGTTGTGACTTTCCACGTTGAATGACGGACGAGATTCAATTCGTTCCCAACTCGAGCGGTCGGCGATGGCCGCTGTTGGCGTATCGAGGGTATCTCTACCTCCACAATAGAGCTAATCCACAGACTTCCTATTGGCGCTGTATTAATGCGCATAAGGAACAACACTGTAGTGTTCGACTAACGGTTAAGGGAGATCTCAATGGTGACCCTAAGGACCTCACGGTCACCAACCTACCATTGAGGGAACACGTTTGCGGCGAACCAAACTCGAACATTCGACAGGTCTGCGCTGAAATGGAGTTTGCGGCGATCAATGACGTGGATTTGAAGATACCGGAGATCTACGATAAAACTGTGGTTGACCTTCCGGAAGAGGTTGTAGAAAGACTGCCGAAGCGGGAATGTGTGGAGAATAGCTTACGACGAGTTAGACAAAAAGTAGCTGCTGTGAACAACGCAGCTCGCCCGAGTGAGCATCTGGGTGGGAAATGAATCTTAGGTCCACTCGTGCTAGATACGAAGTATGTACGAATCATACCATCTTTCATCGCACAGATTGCTGTAGAATATCCAATTCAGATTGTTCTTTGTGAGAAATCTATGTAGGGTAGCGATAGGCAACCTCGTCAGAGTGAGATTCAGCTTGTAGAGGTCTCATGGACAATTATGCGTTCTGTCAAATTTCTCTTAAGAGCGTCTTTCGGAGACTACTCAAGACTTCTAGGAGGTTTTCAAAGAAAGCCGCAGATTCTTGTGCAACTTTGCACTGTCAATTGTTCCATATCTACACCCGCGTGGAGATATTCGCTTCCTTCCCTTTTCAGAGTACCCTACAATCGATCTCACTCGTCTTCCTCTCGAGAAGCCGTACAGTGTGCCCTCCTTCTCTGGTCGACCTTTCCTCGCTTTCCACGGCTACCTCTATCGCCAGGATGCAGCGTACAATGGTAAACTACATTGGAGATGCATAAATTATCATAAACAATTACATTGTCCATCAACTCTTATCACAACTGGTGACCCCGAAGACCCCGAGAATATGGTCATCACTAATTTGAATAAAATCAAGTATCATATATGCGGTCGACCGAATGCTCGTGCTCGAGTGCTTTATCATGAAGCCGTTGAGCGTGCCATGGAGGTCACCGATGACAGCAGGAGTATCTTAGTGAAGATCTACAATGACGTGTTTGGTGGAGAACCTCCGGAGGTGTTGCAACAGCTCCCCAAGAAGGATAGTATTCTCGAGTATATGCGAAAGATGCGTTTAAAAGGTTGTCACGCTCGGACTAGTACTACTGTTTCGAGGACCTCTGTTGAAGCTCATGAAGATACCGTTCTTTGACTATTAGCTATCATTCCCTGTATTACCTGGCAATCCTTGCAACTGAGAACCAGTCATTGAGTTGCCTTAATGTCACTATGTAGAGGTGAATGACGCTCTTAATGCACGTCCCAGTATACTAGCAGGAGTATGAATAGAGAAATATCACCATTGTCGAAGTGGAATGGTGGTGACATAATGTTGTCGTTGAAGTCTGATGATATCGTATTTGACACAGTTAGATTCGCTCTCCCTGTCAGACACATGATGCTTGTTAATTTGACTCGGCGACTATGATCTGACTAGGAGTTGGAGCTATAACGGTATGACAATTCGTGGAGTTATCTCATGGTCGTCGTGCTGACAGAATTCATCTTCCTAATTCGTCGTGGCATAGCGGCCCCACTCATAGAAAGTGATTTTACTGAGTGTATCTAGTGATTATACTGAGGTATATCTTGGGGTGGCATAGCTGCCCCACTTGAAGAAATTCATCATACTGTGTGGTCAAAAAGTGGTTCATAGCTGATCTACAAGTATGAACCAAGTGTAGACCAAGTATGAACATAGTGAGGGTAGAGAGCTCTTGAGATGAGGGATTTCTACACTTGCGGAATAGGGTACGTGTAACAGCTCTCACTTCTCATCGAGAAAATAGGGTTCTAGAATTATTTTCTTGGCCACGTTAATTTTCACAGTGATACAGCGTTATTTCCCACAGATTTCTCCAACTCGGACGATTTTCCGATCGTCCGGCGGGATGGTGGCGCTGTCTTGAGAAGGGCTGCAAAATCTATGACGCTGTAATTGTCAATAGCTGCTTTTCCACTAGTTGACTCTCTTTTATCAAGTGAAGATTCGATGTCCTCGATCCCCATCCTACTGTTGCTACTAATTTACGATGTAGCTCATGCCGAAACGCCAATGGAACTACCTGGAAGTGCTCATTCGGGGGAGCACCCTTTCATTCGAGTTTTCGCCGAGGAGTTGGTACCCTCTGCTCCACCAGAGAACCTGTTCCTCTGTCCCATGAATGTAACAGATGGTGTGAACTTGACATCTTGGCCGTCCGAGGCGGTTACTATTGATGGTACATATTGTATCAACTATAATGAGCTTATGGAGTACAAACATAGAGGCGACTTCTTGAAGTGTCTCACAGAGGTCACTAATGCCACTACTCATGCATTGGATATGTTGGGTATCGATGCGGCGGTCATAGATGGTACTTTATTAGGTTGGCAACGACATGATAAGAATCATATACCCTGGGACGTGGACGCCGACCTCGTCGTCATGCAGAATCATTGTCTAAACGCCTTCTCGGAATTTGCCACTGACCACCATAAGAATATGGCATCCCTTTTACAAGAGTATCTACCCGATGACTCTCGTTATCGTGTCGCCGGCATCATCTATGGCGACGGATCCGAGCTTGATCCCGACGACTGGGAAGGTTGCGATGCCCGTGAGCTTCGCGTTATCCTCCACCACGGTCATAAGGCCTGTCATGTTGATGTATTCCACATGTTGCAATCAGAGCCTTCGGGTGACTGGGATTGTGCATCATGTCCGGGCTACGACGAAGGTATCGTCACAGTTTGTCGTGGCATGAATGAAGCTTGTGCTTTGTACGATGACTTTTTCCCAATGAAATGGGACAGGCTAGATGGTGGTGATGTGAAAGTCCCGAATAAAGTACATGCCGCATTGAAGTCTTACTTTGGTACGTTGGATTATGCGCTCCTCAATCTCAGAGAGATCCCGATAAACTACGAGTTCGGCAGTAACATACTGGTGGTCGGTCGTACGTTGCTGAGCAACACCACTATCAATGGTTCATCGAGCCCAGAGGTGAATCTCCGTGGTTCATTTGGCGAGGATTCGCAGGTTGATACGTCCGTCGTAACCTCAATGGGGTTGCCTCTCAATATGGAGGAAAGCAATTCCGAAGAAAAGATAGTTGCTGCTAACTGGCCCTTAAAGCTTGAAGTGACGCAATCGTCATATTTCCATTCGTATGTTGTTGGTATCGGTCTTTTTTTGTTACTTATCTTTCTTGTATTCTGCTTCTTTAGGGGAGGTCGAATCTCGACTAATGAAGGGGCGCTGAAATGTGTAAGTTCTTTCCACCGTCTCATTGACGTCATCAAAAGAGAATAGGTTTTTAGGTAGTGATTCGTGACTTGTAGTGTTGGGAGTTCCTAGATCCATAGCGTCTCATAACTCGCTGGAATGGGAGAAAGGTCGCAGGAACCTCGCCTTATCGCACGTCGGTTGCAATTCGTCACTGTATCTCAGTCAGATTCAGCTAGTTATTAGCTAGTCATTAGTCATGAAGCGCTCATTCGTCAAGGAATATTGTATGCTCGTCCAGAGTGAAACCGCAAGCACCTGCATACCTGTTTCTGATCCGAACTGTTATGTCACAGCAGCTTGGATGTCGAGAGAGACGCTCACGGGCGTTCGGCAAGGCAATACGTTCAATTTGCACGTTGTGCCCCCTTCCTATAGTTTCCTCCCTTTTCAAGATAGATGGTACCGACATTCCATCCGTTAGCGGAAGCCAGGATTCATATAACTCTCTGCTGATGTCATTAGTCCGTGGGCATATTCGGCGGATAAATTCCTGAATGGTATAATTTGCGGGCATAGCGGCCCCACTCGACGAATAGATATCTGGATGGTATAGTCTGCAGGCATAGCGGCCCCATTCAACAAATAGATATCTGAATGATATAGTCTGCAGGCATAGCGACCCCACTCGACGAATGGATATCTGAATGGTATGGATAGCGGCCTTACTCGACAAATAGATATCTGAATGGTATAGTCTGCAGGCATAGCGGCCCCACTCGACAAATAGATATCTGAATGGTATAGTCTGCAGGCATAGCGGCCCCACTCGACAAATAGATATCTGAATGGTATAGTCTGCAGGCATAGCTGCCCCACTCGACAAATAGATATCTGAATGGTATAGTCTGCAGGCATAGCGGCCCCACTCGACAAATAGATATCTGAATGATCTATAATACCACTCATCGACTACTGATATACTCCAATGAACACAAGACCAGCGGGAGGAGCAAGGAAATGAGAAACAGCCATATCCGAGAATGGTGGAACAGAGCATAATACCAGATGTATAGGGATTAAGTAACATACTACTACTCTATTGGTATTGCAGTACCGCTGCCGTCACCATAAGCAGCAGCAACAGCAGAAGGCAGGGGAAGGTTATCAACAGTGCTATGACGCTTGTATATACAAACAACTAAACAAATGAGAATGGCTGCACAAGTTATTGCCAACGCGGCAAATATCATAATCTCATATTGTCGATTCAATCGTCCGAGCCAACCTTCCTTCGCGAGATTCTGAAGTGTCGTGAGGATCTCCTGCATAGTACCATCATCGCTTCCACGAAGCGAAGGTAGATTAATAGGGGACGTAACATCGCCGATATCATTACCGTAGGCGTCGACAGGACGGCCCACCACGAGCATTTGTGCACCATACTTGTAGTTACCCGGAATCAACTTGAGGTTATTGAGCTCAATGCCAGGACCAGGATACTGCGACTCAAGAGCTCCCACCGGATTGTTGGGGATTTTGCAGTCACCCCAGTCCAATCGGTCCCATGTGGAGGGCTCATAGTCGCTTTTTAAGCCGCAAACTCCCCCATTGGCAGTTCTGCAGACGGTAACAGCACCGTCATTGTAACCAGGGCAGCTCGTGCAAGGAGCTTCGGGGTCCGTTGACTGCAGCATTTGGAAGATATCGACATGGCAGTTGGTGCCGTTGAGAGAATGGACTACTCGAAACTCGGGATTCTCGCAACCTTCCCAGTCATCCTCGCCCAATTCAGAGCCGACCATGTACTTGATGCCTCGCACTCTGAAGTGCTTATCGTCCGGCATGCGCTCTTGCAGAACCTGGGCAATATTCTTGTGTTCAGGTTTGGCGTATTTTTTAAAAGAATCTCGGCAATCAGCCTTCATGATAGAAGTATCCGCGTCAACGTCCCACGGTATGTACCCCTTATGATGGCGGTACCACCCGAGCAGAGTCCCATCACTGAGAGCGGGACTGAGGCCAATGGTATCCATAGCATGAGTGGTGATGTTCACGACATCAGTAAGGCACTGGAAAAATTGAGCCCTGTCCTCTTCAGCGAGCAGCTCCTTGTGACTGGAACATTTGGACCCATCGATGGTCACTTCATGACGCGGCCACTTTGAAAGATCGGTCTTATCCTTAAGCTCGGCCGGACAGAGGAAGAGGTGATCCAAGGGAGCTGAAATTGGGTTTTGCTCAGCGTACACTCGAATGAAAGGATGTGGAGCTGATGACGAAGGAACTACCGTTGCATAGGTCGCGACAGTCGCCGAAAGAACCCATAGAAATAACATGCTAGGGGGTGACCCGTGCTGGCGAATGCCAAACAAACACTACTACTACTGGCTCCAAATGAAGCTAACGATACAGTTCTGTCAACAAACCACCCTTCCGACACAATCCTGTCGCTTTTGTATAGAATTTGCACCTTCACAATGATGCCCTACACCACTCAGGGTGTGTGGAGTTTCCGAATACGAAAAAACCGAGCACAGTTGTAGCAACACTGAACATGAACCCAACAGAAGATGAAGAAATGGACGGAAAAGGATTCTCAAGCAGGTCGTTGCGATAACCATTTTGCAGTAGTATCGACTTCTCTGTGAACCACAGAGTCGCTGTACTGCTGGCAGGTTCGTGGTTTTGTAACTGCACCCTCGGTGGCTCGTTCGAAAGGCCGGTGGCTGTAGTGACCGATCCAGCGGGAGCCGTGATGCTCTGATTGTGCCGCTTTGGACCAACAATCCCTTCCGAAGGTGGATGCACACTCCCAATTATTATGAGATCGTTGAGATTGGTGACGGTAGTGTCATAAGAGAGGTAATCCATATAGTCATCTACATCGAGAATTCCCTATCCACTAACCAAGCGATGAGAACCGTACTGATGGTTGCCTCAGAAAAAGTGTGACTTTAGGACGGCCTATGGATTGCCAGATACCCGCACACAAGCTTCTTACCATTTGCCACAGCCTAATCAATTTTTTTCGAGTGGGGCGGCTATGCCACCCCAAGATATGCCTCAGTGAAATCAATTTTTCCGAGTGGGGCGGCTATGCCAACCCCAAGATAAGCCTTAGTGTAATAAATTTTTCCGAGTGGGGCGGCTATGCCACCCAAGATTGGCCCAGTGTAGCTTTATGATGCAATCAATTTTTCCGAGTGGGTAGCGGCTATGCCACCCAAGATTGGCCTGACGTTGTAACTTCAATTTTTCCGAGTGGGGTGGCTATGCCACCCAAGATTGGCCTCATTGTAATCAATTTTTCCGAGTGGGGCGGCTATGCCACCTCCTTACGTAGTATGACCAATGGCCCAGTATAACTTTATGATGCAACCCAAACGTACGGAACGGGTAGCATCCGGTAACGTCTCGACAACGGGCCTGACGCAGCGAACTTCTCCTAACCACCTGATCAGGGAAAACCTCAAGGTACAGCCATCGTCAACGACAGCCTCTGAAACATGGGGGAGGGTAAGTAGCGCGTGCCATTATGATCGATTTACATAGCAACAGCGTCATCCATGTAGTACGCAGGTGCACGTAACCGATATCATTAGTTCATTACCGACGTTGCCAAATGGCCAAGTCCACTCCCTCTGCTGCTAAGCGGGTGCCGGCTAAAGGCAACTCTAAGGCGCCGAAGTCGTCAATCTCCAAGAAGAGCAAGCCTTCTGCCGCGCCCTCTCAAGGGCTCACTCACGTATCTAGTATAACCTATAAAGACCTTAAGGTCGGGACGCAAGTCATGGCTGCGATACAGGATATCTCTCCTGATGCGCTCATTCTAGATTTGCCTTTCAATAAGATGGGAATCGTGAAAGGTAGTATGGGGAAATATCATATTTGATTAAAATTTACTTTTGCATGGCTTTACGAGCTCGACAGGGGACACTAGGTCGGTGGTCAATATCAGGTATATCTAATATGGTCGATGAAGATGACATTAGTAAACACATGAAACAGGGCAACGTTGCATTGAAGAGCTTCAAGGCTCAGCATAGGTTCCGTAGAGGTCAGCTTGTGACCGCGGCTGTTATTGCCAACGATGGCAGTGGTAGAGAGGTAGTGAGTGGGAAAGCTTCAAATGAGCCAACCTGGAGTGTCAGGGGTCGATCCAACTCTCGTTGTTGCCATCTGTCCTCAATGCTGGGCTAACGTCTAAGACCATGAAACCTCACATGTGGCTGCCTGCTACTGTGCTCACTGAGGAGGCTCACGGGTAAGCCAATGGAAAGTGAGTGGACGTCTAAGCGATGCTGGTAGATACGTTTTGAGTTTCGGCATTGATGGAGTCACTGGCTTCCTGAAGAAGAGCGAGCTACCTGCTCCAACAGATAAAGTAGAGACGACTAAGGGAGTGAACCCTTTGCTCGAGATGTCGGCTAGAGACAACGATGCTCCCGAGGCTGAACAGGTGGGAGTTTGGCACATCAGGGTTGATATTGTGTAGGGGAGGTTGCTTGTATCGTTAGTGGTGTTTCAGATGAGGCTAGGGACACTGGTGTATGTGCGTGTATTGGATAATGACCCTTCCAATAAGACGAGTCTGCAGTGTAGCGCTAAAGCGGGTAATGTGGAAGAAAGTGATAGAATAGGTAGGTGGTCGGATGAACCCGGGGACTTATGGTTTGTGAGGCAGGCAACAGCACCGGTTCAGCTGTGAAAATGAATCTGTGAAAAGTCGGCACTCCTGTGGAGGCTAAGGTATCGCATATATGCATCCCAACCCAACCAGGAGCCCCTAAGAAGAAGGCTAGCAAAAAGAGTGCCGGAATTCAAGTTGATTTCATGGGACCGTTAAAGGGTAGACGTCCTGGCTCGACTCTTCGTTACTACGAACTTGCGCTCGCCCTTAGGTGTTGTGCATCAACATCATCTGCTACACCCCATCCTCAATGACACGGATGTGACGATGACTACCAACCTCAAGGTTGGTATCCTAAACCTTCGCTGTGCGTAATATGATTACTCGTTTTAGGTTGGCCAATCGGTGACGGCGAGGGTACTCGCAGTACTGGCAGACCCGTCGTCGCACACAAGGGCGGTGTACTTAACGTTGTTGCCTAACCTCATACAGTGGAAGGGTATTAAGAGTCAAGTAGAGGCTGGCACGACCATTGAGGTGGGGTTAGTTCCGGAGGGAGTGGTATGAAAATGCTTCTTTTTAGGCGGCTAGGGTTATTGATGTGATTCCGAAGGATTGCACGCGGTTCGTTGCAGGAGGGAATCTCATGGTTGCTCATGCTACTCGATGCAGTCTACCATATAGGCAGCCCGGCGCTGTCGGGAAGAAGACTGATGTCAGGGCTCTGGGGAGTAATCTCCTAGAGATGTCTGTACAGGTCGGTTCCGTACTTCTCTAGGGAGTGTCGGATTGTCTCTGTAGGTCAGCGCAGAGGAGAAGGTCCTGGCAGCCTCTGTAGTGAATCTTCAACAAGTTTCGGCTGGTATGGTATTCGATAAAGCAGTGATTGAGCACTTCGACAACGAGAAGGGCCTCATCGTCAGCCTCAGTGATTTCGTTACTGGAAGGGTTCCAAAGGAGCAATGCACCGACCAGGGTAATCAGAGGAAGCTTCCTAAAAGATATGCGGAGGAGAAGGCGGAGATCCGCGTCAGGGTTCTCAATGTGGACCCTGTGAGGCGACAGGTAGTATTTATCCATACCACTCCTTCGGTAACTCGTCTCTGGCTTTCAGGTTACCCTCACAGCTAAGAAGTCCCTTGTCGGTCGACCGGATGAGGAGGTGCCGAGAGCCCTCATCAGAAACGCTGATGCGAGCGTGGGGGATGTTGTAGTCGGGTACGTGAGTAAGATACTTGACCATGGTGGCTGCATAGTGAAATTCTTTGGTGAGGCATTCGGCTTGCTACCTATTGTCACGGAGGGCTGTGCTCACGAAGGAGCTCTTGTGAAGGTGAGGGTTGTGAGTAAGAACGACTCGCCTAAGGGCACTAGGCTGAGGCTACAGCAAGTGAACAGTATGGAAGATTCTACAATGGGAGAGATTACTAAGGTTGGCGATGTCCTGACAGTTGAGACCATTGAGGGAGCGGATAAGTGTAGTGGTGGTCGACAGTGTGTGAAGATCCGATGTGTGGGAGGTACGGACGTGTTAGTGCCAGTGATGCAGTTGGCAGACGATCCTGATATGGCAGTGGCTGTGATGGAGCGTGTTGAGAAAAAGGAAGATTTGCAACATTTCCCGCTCGCCAAGGTTCTAGTGACTGCTGTTATGAACGATGGTACGGTAGAGGGTACGTGTAAGCCGGTACTGGTCGAAGACGAGAAGTATAGGGAGCTCCTTGGCATCAGTCAGGAGGAGATACCCTCGAAGGTTAAGGTGGGGGAAGGCCTTGTTGGTTTCGTGTCTAACGTGACCACCTTTGGTGCATTTGTTCGTGTCGGTGGGGTTACTGGTCTGGTACCGAAACCCAAGTTGGCAGAAGGCTTCGTTGAGGAGGTTTCTGAGGCGGTTGAGGTTGGCCAGACTGTCACTACTGCAGTGGTGTCGTCGGTTGATGCTGAGAGGAATATGTTCAAGATGGATATGCAACCTCGCGCGGTGGCGGCGGTCAGCGAATTATCAGCTCGGGAGGAGCTCAGGGCTGCGGCGAAGTTGAGGCTTGAGAAGTGGTTGGGGAGTGGTAGGATACCCCAGAGGGGACAGGTGGTCGATGCCAAGGTTGGCAAGAAGAAGCCCTATGGATGGATGCTTGAATTGACTAAGTTCGAGGCTGCTGCTGGACTGTTGTTGAAAATGGGAGTTGGGGAGTTGGAGAGTGGCAGTGATGTGAAGGTTAAGGTTGTTGACGTTGACGTCGTGAGATCTGTTGTGTACGCGTGCAAGATTGGAGAAGAGGCTAAAGCAGGTGGCAA